TAGGTCTGGCTGCAAACTGTATTTATTTATTTATTTTTTTGAGTTGGAATCTCACTCTGTCGCCCAGACTGGAGTGCAGTGGCCGCTCCCGGCCACCGCAGCCTCGCCTGCTGGGCTCCGGCGATCCTTCTGCCTCAGCCTTCCGAGTAGCCAGAATTATAGGCATGCGCTACCACACCCAGCTGATTTTTTGATTTTACTGTAGAGATGAGGTCTCGCCTGCTCAGGCGGGTCTCGAACCCACGGGCTCAGGCAATCCACTCACCTCAGCCTCCCAAAGGCGCGGGATTACAGGCTGAGCCACCGAGCCCAGCTGGCAAATTGTATTTTTAACAAGTCCCCTTGAGGATTCTAACGATGAGCTAAGGTTGGGAGGCCTGATATTATTTTATTTTCACAGTAATGTGGCTTATTTTTCAGATGAGAAAACTGAGGTTCAGAAGAAGTCACTTGCCCTAATTCACAGACTGACTTCCTTGGAAGTCTGTAATCTTTTTAGTACAACACCACACATTCCATTTGTTGGCACAGGCCTACAAAATAGAGACCCTTCCTCCATGCATTGCTGGAAATTCTGATAACAGGGACTTAAACAGACACCCCACATTCCTCTTCCTTAGTCCCACTGAAGGCCATGAGAATACCCTTTGTATTAGTTTCTAACTGCCATAACAAAGTACTACAGATTGGGTGGCTTAAAACCCAGAGGAAGAAAATGTATTCTCTCATCGTTCTGGAAGCTAGAAGTCAGGAGTCAAGGTGGGGGCAGGGCCATGCTGTCTCTGAAGACTCCAGAGAGGCAGCCATCCATGCCTTTCTCTTAGCTTCTGTGGCTTGCAATCATGCATTCCTCAGCTTGCAGCTGCGTAACTCGTCTCTCCCTCCATATTTCCTTGGCATTCTTCCCTCTGTGTAAACTCTCTGTGTCTCTTCTCCTCCACCTTATATAATGACCCCATGTTGGACTAAGTTGGATTGGATTAAGGGCCCATCCTACTTCATATGATCTCATCATCATAATTTCTTTTTTTTTTTTTTGTTGAGTTGGAGTCTCACTCTGTCACCAAGGCCAGAGTGCAGTGGAACGCTCACGGCCACTGCAGCCTCAGCCTGCTGGGATCAGGTGATCCTTCCGCCTCAGCCTTCCAAGTAGCCAGAACTACAGGAGCACGCTACCATGCCTGGCTAACGTTTTTGATTTATTGTAGAGATGAGGTCTCACCAACTTGCCGTAGATCTCTTGCTTTGGATTCCCAAAGTGCTGGGATTACAGGCTGAGCCACAAAGCCTGGCCTAATTTTCTTTTTTTAAATTCCTGTCATTCATGCTGGAGTTCAGTGGCATGATTGTGGCTCACTATCAGCCTCGACCTCCTGGGCTCAGGCAATCTTTCCGCCTCAGCCTTCTGAGTAGCTGAGACTACAGGCACACACCTCCATGCCTGGCTAATTTTTAATTTTTTTTATAGAGACGAGGTCTCTGGTACAATCATGAACCACTGTGCTCAGCCCTTATCTTAATTTACATCTTTATTAAATCTGTAGGCCGGGTGCAGTGGCTCACACCTATAATCCCAACACTTTGGGGGGCTGAGGTGAGAGGATTGCCTGAGCCCATGGGTTCAAGACCAGCCTGGGCAACTTGGTGAGACCTCATCTCTACAATAAAAAAAATTAAAAATTAGCCGGGTGTGGTAGCGCGCGCCTGTAGTTCCAGCTACTTGGAAGGCTGAGGCAGAAGGATTGCCTGATCCCAGCAGGTTGAGGCTGCGGTGGCCGTGAGCATGCCACTGCACAACATTGCCTGGGTGACAGGGTGAGACTCCAACTAAAAAAAAAAAAATTTGTAAAGACCCTGTTTCCAAATAAGGCCACAAGTACAAGTACCAGGGGTTAGGACTTCAACATGTCTTTCGGGGGACACAGTTCAACAACACCTATAATAATTAGGTGTCAGAAACACAGGAATCCTCAGACTACATATACCAACCATAGTGACCATAGTGACCAACCATAGTGACCATAGCTTTTCTAAAGGGCAGGGGGACCCAAGCCCAGATGGAATGAGAAGCTGTGATATGTCTAGGGGCAACTCTGGTCATTGTATATAAGGCTGGACAGTTAAAGGCCCATAATGTGGCATCAGAACAGTTCAGAAACCTGGCTCAAAGTGTTCATTCATTCAGTCAACAACTCTCTAGTAGCTTCTCATGTGCCAGGAGCTGGGCAGGGAGCAAGGCAGGCAGGATCCATTCAATCATGGTCTCATGGGTTAGGAGGGTGACTGACAGCCATAGGATCACACTGATGAGGGCATAATTACAAACTAACAAACATTTATCTGTGCTCTGAGAGAAAGAAATGATGTCACTGAGAAGACATCCTGTGGCTGAATTTTCCTTTCTCCCTGTCACCTTCCTCTGCCTCTGCCTTCTTCTCCTCCTCTCCTCTTCCCCTCAATTTTTCTTTAACTACCACTTTTTTTTTTTTTTTAAAGAGACAGGGTCTCACTCTGTTGCCCAGGCTGGAGTGCAATGGCATGCTCATGGCCACTGCAGCCTTGACCTGCTGGACTCAGGCAATTCTTCTGTCTCAGCCTTCCAAGTAACTGGAACTACAGGAGCGTGCTGCCATATCCAGCTAACTTTTTGATTTATAGTAGAGACGAGGTCTCACTCTATTGTCCAGGCTGATCTCAAACTCCTGGGCTGAAGCAATCCTCGCTTCAGCCTCCCAAACTGCTGGGATTGTGAACCCTGGCACTCTGGCCACTACCACATTCTCAAAGGAGGTGTTTTATCATCTTAGTGAGAAAAAGGGGACTAGAGCACCCCTAGTGGCCAGTGTCTGCAAAGCAAACACTTGCTGGGAAATGGGGGCAAGGGCTGGGAGGTGTGTGTGCCTGACCCAGGTCTTGTGCAGTGGATACACCCTGGCAGATTCATGGCCAATGGACGCCAGCTGCTAAAGCTTTTTACCAATTTGAAGGTGCGGATCCCAGACTCCTGCAAATAAAATCCATCTGTTGTTTGGTCCTGACCCAGCACATCTCCTGAGATGCCAGAAAGGCAGACCAAGCCCTGGCCAGGCAAAGGTTAATGCTTAAGAAGCCCTCCCCAGGCTAGGCGCGGTGACTGACGCCTGTAATACTAGCACTTTGGGAGGCCGAGGTGAGGGGACTGCCTGAGCCCACAGGTTCAGCCTGGGCAACTTGGTGAGACCTTGTCTCTACAATACATCAAAAAATAGGCCAGGAGTGGTGGTGCACACTTGTAGTTCCAGCTAATTTGGAAGGCTAAGGCGGAAAGGATAACCTGAACCCGGCAGGTCGAGGCTGTGGTGACCATACTTGTGCCACTGCACTCCAGCCTGGACAACAGAGTAAGACTGAAAAACAAAAAACAAAAAAAAGGAAAAAGAAAAAAAGCCACTGTAGCCTTACCTCCCTGACAAGCCTAGCAGTCCTGCTTGCATCCTCCTAGTAACCTTCTGATCAGTATTTCAGCTGGCCCTTTTTCAGAACCAGGACCATCTCCCTTAAGCCTCTATCATGCATGACCTCTTCCAAGTTTTCATCACTTACTTTAGACACTGAAACCCAGGAGCAACCCAGGGCAACTAGCTTACATTCTTTCCGCACTTCTTGGGCCACCCCTGAGAGAGTCAGACAAGCACACCCAAATCCTTGGCCCTCTCCAGGGACTCATCAAGAACAGGAAATTGGGGAGGGCAACCAGTGACAAACTCTGGATGACAAGGCTCATACTGATCCAAAGCTTAAGCAGAAGGCCAGGCCTGGTGGCTCATGTAAGTAATCCCAGCACTTTGGAAGGCAAAGGCAGGAGGATCGCTTCAGCCCAGGAGTTCGAGACCAGCCTGGGTGACAGAGTGAGACCCCATAACTACAAAAAATTAACTGGCATGCTGGTGTGTACCTGCAGTCCCAGCTACTCGGGAGATTGAGGTGGGAGGATCACCTGAGCCCAGGAGTTCAAGGCTGCAGTGAGCTATGATCTTGCCACTGCACTCCAGCTTGAGTGACAGAGGGAGACCTCTATCGCTGTAAAAAATAAAAATTAAAGCAAAGGTCAAGCAGAGATTTTTTTGGGGAAGGGAGCCTCCCCGAAGAGCCCCTCTAGTCAGCTGCAGAACCTACCTCTTGTCACCAACAGGATTTATTTCAGGGTTTTGCCAGCAAAATGACTTACAAGTATACATTCTTCTTCATCACCTGGCATCTCCTTTCCAGAGGTGCCCCTGAGTTGCAGCAGATAGGAGCTGCTTCTGAGATTCTGGGGCTACAGGCCTCCCCCCCACCCCACCCCACCCCACTCACCAGAGCTCTTCCAGCTCACAGCACCACCCCCGCCGCCCAGCAGACTTGGAGTTGGGCAGAGAGGCTTATGAGGCCGTTATCTCTCAACAGACAGCTGTGCAGGGCTGAAGGCAGCAGCTTATCAGGGAGCCTGCAGTGATTCACAGCCCAAGTCCCAGCTTCTCTGCTGAATAGTAATTTCCAGCAGTGGATTTGTGCTCAGTCTCTCCTCCCCCTCTCCCAAGGGTGTGCTGTCCTTTCTCAGAGAGAGGGCAGTGAAGGGGAGATCCTACTCATAGGGATGGGGGCTCCGTGCCAGCCTGCAGGTTTAAGGACCTCAGCAAGGTCTGCCATCCTAGGCAGTGACCTCCAGGAGAGTTGATCAATGCTCACCTTCCTTCCCCTCCCAGAAAGGCAGTGTGCTGCTCCCTTTCCCTTTGGGGTGATGGACAGGAGGCCACAAGCCCCCGAGGCCAGGACCAGCTAGGGAGGACAAGAGGAGAGAAGGAGAAGTGAGGGACTGGGTGGTGTGTCCCTTGCACCATTTTGAAGCTGTCCAGTCTCTGCCTGACCCTGAGGACTCCAAAGGCTGAGGACGCAAGGCAGGAGGAGACTGAGACACAAGGGGGCAGGCCAGAGCTGTCTCTGCACAGGCAGGTGGTTAGGAAAAAACCTGGGGACAGAGCCATTTTTGTGTTTGTTTTATTGGAAGCAAGACTCCAGCTGCAGGGCTCAGGGAGGAGGCCTGCAGAGTTCTGTCCTTGGGTCTCTGTTTCTGGGCCAGCATGGGGAAGGGGGATGTTAAAAGAGCCAGAGCCCTCGGAGATGCTCCTCCAAAGCAGGGGAAGGAAAACCAGAAAGAAAACTGCCCCAGGGTGGGGGGCAGGATAGGACCCCCACATCTCAGACTCCTCTACCCTCAAGCAGTTTCTCACCCCCAGCCCTCCGCGTCAATGGTGGAGTGACTCCAAGAGCTCTCCCTTGCTTCCAGACTCCAGGTGCCCTTCATGAATGCTGGCTGCCTTTAACCTTTGGGGGTCCCAAACAAGGTTCAGGAGTCCCATTGCCCACCGTTCCTTCCAAAAAGAAGTTTCCAGCATGGCTCAGAAAAGGTGACGGTGAAGTTCCGCGTCTTCAGGTAACACAGGCATAGCAGCAACCATAGCAGGAAGCTTCCCTGGGGTCGTCGGGTATCCTCTTTTGCCACTCCTGGGTCCTCTCTCTTGTCGCTTTAGGGTCTATTAGGGTCTATGCTACCAGTCTAGAGAGCGGTGTCCGGGTTGTGGGCTCCAGAGAACTGAGGCGTGAAAGGCTGAAGGTGCGTCCGAAGGTGGAAGCACGGGGGGTAAGATCCTGCGAGTCTAGGTGGCCCTGAGTCCGAAGTCCTCAGGCTGTCCCGTCGTTGTCTGAAGCCCCTGGATCAGGTTGTGACCTCTTCGCGGAGCCTTCTCCAGCAGCGGGGTCCCCTAGGCTCCTCTTGGACGTCGGCGCGGTTGGCGGGGACGAGGGGCCAGGATGGGGGTTCGGGGGCTGGTAGCCGGGTTGCCGCGGATCCAGCGCGTCCTTGGAGAGTAGGATGGCGAGGCCGGGCACATTCTTAAGTACACTGAGACTAGCAGCGGGCTCTCCGGGCGTCTGACCAGGCGTGGGCCCGGGCGGGAGGCTCTGCCACACCTCGCGCACGCTCCGGTAGCGCAGCCGCGTGACCTGGTGCAGGCCCGCCAGGCGGCGCTTGAGGATCTCGGCGCACGTGACGGTTTTGGTGGTCGCCCGGCCGCAGCCACTGAAGACGATGGCGCGCGTGGTTGGCTGCGCCATGCTGGCGGTGGCGAAGGCCATCAGGTTCCGGATCTTGCTGCCCTCCTTGACCCGCATGTGCACGGCACCGGGCGCCAGGTCGGCGAAGGGCCCGGAGCCCGGGCCGCCCCCCTCGGCCCCGCCCCCCGCCGGCGCCTCCTCGGAGCGCACCTTACGGAAGTTCTCCATGCGCCGTCGTCGCCCGGACCGCCGGCTTTGCCATGGGGCGGCCTCAGACCCGGGGCTGCATGGCTGCCGGTCGCGCCAGGCACCGGCCCGCAAGAGTAAGCGCGCAGGAGCGGCGTGGATGCTGCCGGAGTGCCGGGACGGCGCGGTCTCCGCCCTCACTTCTCCCGAGCGGGCGCCGCTTGACTCCGCGCTCTCGGCGCCGGGTGCTCCCGCCTTCAGCTGAGGCCCCGCCCTCGTCGCCAGGCCCCACCCCCGACTCGGCCTGGCCCGCCCCCGTCCTAGCCTCGCCGGCCTTTCGTGTCGAGTCGGTGTCTTTGGCTACCCCCGCGCAGGGGCGGCGCGCGTTGGCAGCGCCTGGGGGTGACTTGGAAGGTGAAGTTTCGCTATGATCGCCACCAGCTCTCTCCGAGACAGCGCTCATAAGCGGGCCACCTAAATAAAAGCTGCGCTTGCGGTGCAAACGTGGCGTAAGTCAGGTCTCCGAGCCCTGTCGGGTTCCAGCTGAACGCCGCCCGAGCCCCCCTCCCAGGGAATGTTTTCTTGTGGGGCCTCGCTCTTCCTCCCCCCAGGGGCTCACCCCTCCTTTTTTCCGCTCCCGGGTACTCTCGCCTCAAGGACAGCCAGTGCGCGGTCAGCAGAGCGCGGGAGGCGCCGGCTCCGGCTTGGCTCCGCGCGTCCCCCCAGCACCGCGCGGCACGGCGCGGTCCTTGCGGGGCGCCGGAGCTGGAGCTTGCAGCCTCGCCACGCCGGTCCTGAACTCGATGCTCCCAGACTCCCGTGCATTCCTGGGACGTGGCGAGTGGGGCTTTGGGCCGGGCTGTTCCCCGAGGCCGACAGGACCTTGCGCTCCGTTGCGCTCGCCCCAGGCCTGAGAGTCTAGAGTTGCGCATGCTTTAGGGTAAGCCGGGCACGGTTCCCGGCTAACGCGACCCCCGCCCTCGCCCGTCTTCCCGAGTGGAACTCGCTGTCAGTCAGCCTTGGTACCTTAAGACCCAGTGGGATTTTTTTCAAAAAAGGAGACTGAATGAAGGCATGTTTTAAGAGAGAGAAGGGAAGAGGGTGGGAAGTTGAAGCCTTGGGGGAATTATGAAGCTTCTAGATGCCCCTATTCGGAAACTACTGGACCGAAAGAATTGCCAGGGGTAGCTTGACCGGTGAGAGGAGCCGTAGGGAAAGAGCTGAGGTTGGGGCTGACAAACTGCGGGTGGAAGGGAGGGGGTTGGGAAGGAGCCCTACCCTCCATAAAAGTACCCTCAGGCCTCACCTTTCCTCTTGCCACGCCCTCACGCTGGATCTGAACTAGGGTGTGGAGCAGAGCTGGTCCCAGTGGTGATGACTGGGGCGGGGAAGGACACAGGGAGCTGGGACGGGCGGGACGGGGGCTGGGGCTGCCGTGCCCTCCTCATGCCTCCTCCGCATCCGGAACAGTCGCCCCCGCTGTTCAGAACCTGGGTTTTGCCCCTTAACCAGCTCCTTGGGTGTGGCTGCAGCACCTGGACGTTGGCGCCCCGATGCATGAATGGCTGACACTCCCCATCTCCTTCTGGGATCTGGAGCCCGCAGGGTTTGCTCCGAACCCGAACTTCGGCCCCGCCCCAGCTCCCACGGCAGCGGTGGAAGGCACAAAGACTGACTGCAGCGCGTGGCGGGGCGCATCCGTGGGCTCTGCAGGGTCGGGCTGCGAGAAAAGCCCCAGAAAGGCTGGAAGCTACGTAGGAACGGGCCGGTTGGGGAAGAAGCGAGCTCTCCATCCCCAGGTGTATGCAAGCCTAGGCTGAAGTCTGTCTGTAAATTGGAAGAGGCGCTTCGGGTTTGTGTAGGATGAGGATGGGGCGATTCTGTGTCCGCCCAGCTGGCTCTCGAGGGCGCTGCCGCCCCCATCCCTACCCCCACCCCCACCCCTCTAAACTGCCGTCTGTTCCAGAAGATTCTTTTCACTTAGCTCCACGGTTGGTGAAGGGAGAACGCCAAAAAGGCCCGTATCCCCTCCTGCCGGTCCCCTCCCGTTCCCTCGCTCCCTCTGCAGCACTTAAAATGTAAATGCGCGCCGTGATTAGCCGCGGGGTCGCTAATTGCAGCTGAAGCCATTCATTACGCTGTCAGCGCGCGTCTCAGCCCGCGGGCTGCGCTCCATCCCCGCGGCAGAGGGGGGCGCGGGGAGAGGGCGGAAGGGTGGGGGGCGCTGTGAGTTAGAGTAACGCGGCAAGCTGAGAGGAAGCGGGGGCTGGGAGAGGGGGCAGTGACGGGGGGAAACGGCGTGGGCGGTGAAGACGGGGTTGGATGGCAGGGAGAGAGGAGAAACGCGGGGGTCAGGAAGGAATGGGCTGTGGAGTGGTGAGGACTCAAGGGAGGGGGGCGGCGTGAGAGAGGAAACGGGCTGGAGGAAGGGCGAAGAGAGAAGTCGCTGGAAACCCCGGGAGGAGGCCGGGACCTAGGGAGGGGAGTAGAGGGCTCAACCTAAGTAGGCATTTGGAGTGGCCAGCACGCGATGGTTAAACCGTGTACGACGGTCAAGACGCATGTTAAAAGAGCCAGGTGCCAACCATACACACAAGATCCCAAGTATTAAAAAAAAAAAAAAAGCGCGATCAATTTCCATGTATATGTGTTTGTGAATGTTAAGTATATTTTAAGACTGTCCAGGGAAACAGCACACTAATAACTTACCTCTGGTGGCTGCAGCCAATTTTCACTACTTTCTTTAAGAAAAGGACTGTCAGGCGGGTGCGGTGGCTCAGCGTGTAATCCCAGCACTTTGGGAGGTGGAGGTGCAAGGATTGCCTGAGCCCATGGGTTCAAGACCAGCTCGGCAACTTGGTGAGACCTCATCTCTACAATAAAACAAGAATTAGCCAGGCATGGTGGTGCGTGCCTATAGTTTCAGCTACTTGGAAGGATCACCTGGGCCCAGTAAGTCGAGGCTGTGGTGGCCGTGAGTCTTGTGCACCTGCACTCCAGCCTGGGCAACAGAGTGGAACTCCAACTCAAAAAAGAAAAAAAGAAAAGAAAAGAAAATTACCATTAAATAAGAGTATCAAAATTAAGCACAAAGACTTGGAACAGACTGTAAATGAAGTACTGACCCTGAAGCTTCTTTTTGCCTCTGTGTGACCTTGGACAATTTATTTAACCTCTTTGCCTTGGCTTTGTCATCTGTACAATAGGGCTAATTATAGTACTCTGCCTCACAGAGTGGTTGTGAGACACTTGACAATCTTAGAACCTTAATGGCTAAGTGCTCAGGAAATGTTGGCAGTTAATATTTTTTGTATATGATGTGTGATTAAAATAAATTTTAGACCAGGTGCAGTGGCTCATGCCTGTAATCCCAGCACTCTGAGAGGTTGATGTGGGCCAGGTGTGATGGTTTACGCCTATAATCTCAGCACTTTGGGAGACTGAGGCAAGTGGATTGCCTGAGCCGCAGGTTCGAGACCAACCTGGGCAATTTGGTGAGACCTGAGCTCTACAATAGAAATGAAACAATTAGCTGGGCGTGGTAGTGTGCACCTATGGTTGTGGCTGCTTAGAAGGCTGAGGAAGAAGGATCACTGGAGCCCAGCAGGTCAACGCTGGGACGCTGGGGTGGCCCTGAGTGTGCCACTGCATTCCAGCCTAGGCAACGGAGTGACTCCAACTCAAAAAAAATAATCCCCCTTTTGTTTTACCCTTAAAATGCAATGGCAGCCGGCTCGGTGGCTCAGCCTGTAATCCCCCGCCTTGGGAGGCTGAGGTAAGTGGATTGTCTGAGCCCGCGGGTTCGAGACCCACCTGGGCAACTTAGCGAGACCTCATCTCTACAATAAATCAAAAAATTAGGCGGGCATGGTAGCGCGTGCCTGTAGTTCCAGCTACTTGGAAGGCTGAGGCGGAAGGA